TGTGTGTGTTCAAGGCTTCCTCCTCATCCCACAGGGCCTAGACCTGGATTGTTATGAGCAGATGGCCATAATTACCAAAGCACAGAAAGCAGCAGCAGAGGACAGGGAGGGTGTTGCTTTAAGTTGCTGCGTAGCCAGATTGATTTCAGCAACCTGGATGGGGTAATCCTCTTTTCAACAAGGCGAGGCCAAGGTAGTTCCCTTTAATCCACAGTGTCACCCACACCTACTTCACTGTCAGGTTTTACTCTCTGTTGTTGCCAGCAGTAGCCTTCTACAATGTCCTGTGAAACTTAGCTCAATGAGGTAAAGTGACACACATTCAGAGAGAGCTCAGGAGGATGGGGAGTAAAAGGCTCACTCAAAAGAGAAAACACTACTACCAAAGCCACTGTTAAAGCCAAAGTAAAGTTATGAACAACATGGAACCCAGTGAATGAAGCCCCTCAAAGGCAAGCGGGGTGAGTGGCAATGTACAAGGCCGCTTACAAGAGGATATGTTGAGGAAGAGGAACTTGCTTTTTTTTTTCTTTTACTTCCACTTTAAGACAACAACACGGTAATCTTCTATTTAAAAGGCTAGAACTTCATATGGCTTTACTTAAAGAGAGCAGTAAATAATAAACCTGAACTTTCATGTAGCTAGTCCATCACGCAGGGACTAAAAAAACATTCAATTGTGGAGCACGTTGCACGCTAACGGCAACAGAGCGCAACACTCAACGCAATGTGCCAGTTTTTAAGATTCTTATCGACTAAACAGCAGTTTGGTGGAATATACATGTGCCGAAGTCGGTGATTTGAAATAAGCCTTAAAACTCATAATATGAGAGGGGTACCGTTTTGACAGTCAGCGGGACATCAAACTGCGGAGTTATTTGAACAGAGTCTTGTGAAACGTGTCGGGGTGGAGGAAAGATGTGCCTTCCCCGTTAGAAGAAAGAAGCAGGTGGCGATAAAACAAAAGGCGGTTCTCGTGATAACTGCTAGCTCGCACGCTCGAGCTGCTTTGTAAGTTCAAGGAAAGCAGTGAAAAAGCAAACTGACCTGCATGTGTAATGTCGGACAGGTCGTAGTTCCTGGCGCTGCGGGGAAACTCCTTCAGTTTTCGGTTGGACAAGTTAAGAGCCCCGCTCGCGGCAGCCTCCTCGAGCGCTTTCTCCACGCTCCGACTGGCCGCTACTGTGGCCGGCAGCTGGGCTCCATCCCCAGCAGCCATCAAACGTACAGGTCTACCTCCTCTTTTACTTTGTTTGAGGCGTCCGCTCCACTTTCATACCCCGTACAGTCTTGTGAAGTCCAAACTGCGTGCTCTTCTTGCAAACTTTCGTTAAAAGTACGAAATTAAATCCGAGCAAAAGCAGTTGGCGATGTGAGTTGTGACTGCGTCCCTCACACAACGGGAGCTATCGTTTCCACTACTAAACG